ACTGCAATCAGGTCCCTCCTTACCCACATTGCTTTTGCAAGATGAACAACCCAGTTGCACCCTCTCCCCCTCATACCTGGTGTGCTCCAGCACCCCAGTCCTCTCAGTGGCTCTCCTCTGGACCCTCTCCAGTTTGCCAATCTCTCTCTTGAACTGGGGGCCCAAGACTGGACACGGTACTAGAGCACTGCCTCAACGGCAGCTGAGCAGGGGGCGAAATCACCTCCCTGACTGAGATGGGCAGAACATCACACTATCCTCCCAGGTTCTGCTCCTTTGGCTCAGCAAGACCCCTGAGCAGCAGTCCTGCTGGCCAGCTTATGAAATGTCCTGTTGTCTTTTCTATGTGCACTCTTTTTTTTTTCCAAATATTAAAAATGTTGTGTGTTTGTGTGGCAAAGGTAAATCTCAATGCAATGTACAGAATATGTCTTTGGCTGAAGTGAAAGATGGAGAGAACACTGACTTCCAAGACGGAGTGTCTCTCTTAATGACCTGTGGTCAATCTTTTATTTGACTAAAAAACCAGAAAAAGTCCAAAATATTTTTCACTGTTTGGGACTGTTCTTACAGGGCTTTGCTTTCATGTCTTTGCTCAACATTATGGTAACTTCTTCCCTCACCACTCAATGTGCATGTGTGTTTTCCTAACCAGTTTAGATCCTGCATTTTGAGGAAAGTGGGATTGCTTAGTTATCTTACAAGGCCCAATTTAAGTATACTGAAATTAATGGGTTGCTTTTTTGGATCAGGTCTGGAATGTTAATTGCAGTTACTATACTAGCCTATCTAATCCTCCAAATAGAGACTGCATCAGGACCTCAGAAACTGTAAAAGGACAAATCATGAGAAAAATGCATTGTTGAGCAAATATCTAAGAGAGGCTTGATCTTGTCCCCATTGATACTGATGGATAAAGAAAAGCCCTGAGATCATTCCAATAGGTTAAATACTGACTTTGGCCTAATTTATCCCTAATTTATTGCCCACTGTATGATCCAAGAGGAAGTTTTCCCTCAGAAATGTGTGGAAGGAAATAACTAGGCCATGATACATGCTCTTATGTATGGGGCTACAGATTAGCAGCTGAATGGAGAGAGACCAGAAAGCACAGACTTTGTGTCAACTGAGAATTCAGAGGAATTTCTGGCCCCTGTCCCATGACTCTGCAGCATCACACAGAGCGGATCCCTGTCAGTATTACCAGGCCACCCTCCTTGCTGGAGGCACAGCTTCCTATTTGGCCAGTTTGTATTTGCAAAGTCCTATAAATTTTGGGTTCCCTCTGCAGCCCTGCCACCAACTATGTGAGTTTTGGCAAACAAACAGTGTCAGAGTCACTTGTGCTTGAAGGCAGTTTCTAGTTAAATTCCAGGTTCTCGTATTTTCTTGCAAAAACTGCAGGAAAATGTTTATTTATGCAAAAGAAAAAAAAAAAAAAAGAAAAAAAAAGGAAATATGCTGAATCCTCCCTCCCAGGTATAACACCAGCGGAAGTTAGCATTAAGTGAGCATATATATGCATGCACACACCCACAAACCAACCCCAGATTTAACAGAATACAATCCTTTTCCACCTGGCTTTCAGTGGTTTGGATTTTTCCATTTTATGAATTTTCCATTTTATGACCTGCATGCCATTTTTCTAGATCAATATATAGTAACATTTTAAGCCCTTCATATGCTATCAGAACTACAAAATAAACCAAACTACAATAAAATTCTTTCAGACTTCTTGGAGAAATCAGCTCTGGAGGGCAGCAGTCTTTTGCAAGAAATGTAACTGCAAGTTCAAACAGAAAAGTGACCTTTGCCTGTTGCTACAAGTATGTCACTGGAGGGGATTTGGCAGCAAGCTTTTCACTGGGAGGAGTCACTTGGCATTGGTACGGGTTTATGAAAGCGCAGAGGAAAGTAGAAGTTGGTTTTCTTAAATGATTCCCTACAAGGAGGACATGCAGGGTATTTTCCAAGAGCAGGCTGCAAATAAATTTTTACCTCTGTTGAGCACTGTCAGATCCCACGTTATCGCAGTAGGCGCTCTTTATAGGGCACGTCTCTGTGCCATACATCGCATCTGCCTCAGCTGAGTCCATGTAGCCATTGACCAGCTTGATGTCTCTCAACTTCATATTGTCATTTTGTGAATCCAAAGATACAATGTCAGATGGGGAGCTCACAACACCCGAGTCTTCCATGGTGTCCTCCGATGCAAAACAGCTGCTTTCTGATGCTGTTTCTTCCACCTCTGATAGCTCCAGAACCATGTCATCCACTACATAAACATTACCATGTGCAGGCAGCAGGCTCTCTAAATGAAATATAGCAAGGAAAGTTAGCTGAAAGTCATCAGTACATAAATCAAACACAGACCGCTATTCCTTTTCCTATTCCTTTGTAATTGGAAAAAAAACACGTGAAAGACATTAGAAATAGTAGGATGGAGCTCAATATTTGTGTAAAGGATAAAGATGATTTGAAAAGTGACAAAAATTTTGTCCTTCTTTGCTTTTAGAAAGGTGGCTTGCTACGCCTGTCCTGCGAAGTCTGGGTTTTATAACTTTCATAGCAAATCAGTTTCGTTACTTCTATGAAGAAACAACTTTCCAGGGACAGTTTCTTGGGGAATTAGACCAAAGTTTAAATGATGTGGTGCAAGAATTCACTCCTGTTATTGTTTCTGACAACATAATCTCATTATTCCTCTTCCATTCTGCCAAACAGATCATGACATTTCCAACAAGAAGTCTATAGACAGGTAAAAATGGGCAGATTTCCCAATCAGGACACTGAATTGGTAAACTGGATCTACTGCTGGCCCACTAGGTGACACTTCATTTTAGCACCCATCAATTTCCTATGCGTTAAGTGGAACAATAACAATTGTCTCTTTTTCAAAGCATACAAAACCTACTAATAAGTATACAGAAAAGTAGACACTACTATGCTTAAAGCAGAACCTTTTCCAACATTTAGTCATTTATAAAGGAGATCAAGGGATATGCCCTTTGCATGTTTAACTCTATTAAAAGTTGCAAATTTTGAGAGATTAGACAGTGTACAATTTTTTGTACTCTGTTTTAGTTTGGTTCCTATGAGTCACTTGGGTTTTCGTTTGTTTTGGGTTTTTTTTGGTGAAAAATACATTTTTGTTATTTCCCTTAAGAAATGTACAATGCTAGACTCTATCCTGCAATTATGCCATTAAAGGGGAACTCCCAACAAGGTCAATAATTTCAATGACTGAAATTATTGAGTGACTAAAGACAGAAATCAAGCCCAAACACACTGCTTTTGATCAAAAGAAATCAATAAAGACTAATCTAAATGTTTAATTTGGAATTATAGGTGTTCTCCATTCTCTTCTTCAACCTCAGTAAGCAAAAGGAAGATTAAACAATAGTTTATGGTCTGATCCTGCAGACGCTTGTGGTGGATGTTAATTATATGAGAAGTCCCAGGTCTACAAGCGTGATTAAAATTAAACATACACTTCACTGTTTTTTAGGGTCAGAATCTACAACTTTTTGAAGCATACATGAAGCTACAGGTCAATAAAAGTGATCAAGGGAGAGAAATACTTCTGTATTATGCTGCAGCTTTGAGTAAAAGTAAAATAAAAACCAAACCAACATTCTCCTTGAGTGAGGTTACAAGATGCCATTAAGTACTGAAATTGATTTCTGACAGCAGAAGCAATAAAATTCAGAGGGTTACAAATCATGACTAAAGTTGTAAGTGCTGTCAAGCATTGATATTAATGATGGAAGATGATCCAAAGACTCTATTATGACTTTGGAAGTAATGTTACTTGATTTTTTTGACCTTATTTTCTATAACATTAGCTCTAGGTTCCAGATTTAATCCAAGAGATGGTTCCATCTAAAAATGGCAATTGCACGAACTAAGTATCTGTCACTGAATGGATTAGAGTACTCTCATGACAGAACTACAGTTAGGAAAACACCAACATCAAGGAGAAACATGAGTAAGTTGACATTAAACTCCAAATAATAAAACCCCAGAAAAATAGACAGTAAACGGACAGGTGAGAGTATATGGGCTGCTTGGCCTTCAAACAAACAAAAATTCCCAGTAACAACCCACCACTAAAGCATTAGAAAAACCTACAGTATGTTAAAACCAGAATGAAGCAGGATAGCAAAGAAATCAATTTAAAGAGTGGAAGTTGAAGAGTAGAAGCACATGGGAAGATTTTGAAGCAATGCACAATGCAGTATACCTGGATGCAAAGAGACCCCAGATAACACAGGGCCACATCTATTGTCACCAGGGTTCCATAAACGACCTCCACCCATTAGCTGGCACAGCAGTTTGTAACAAGTACCTACTTCCAGTTCCTGACAGGGCGATGGCAGGCTTTTCCTCCCTAGCTGTCTCTCTCATTTCCTCATCCTCTTCTCGCCTGCCTGCAACTATTTCCTGCACCTTTCTGCTCAGGGACGTAGATCCTTTTGGTCACACAGCCCTGCTTGCCTCCTGTAGTAACAACGCTCAAGGCTGTCCCTGATGTGATTCTGCAAGCTGCTCTTCGGCAGGTTCTCCAACCCCCAGACCCACTCTCCCTGCACATCGACAAACAAAACGAAACCAAATTCTCTTATTGTCAAGGGTCCACTTGCGAATCGACCCCTGTGTCTGGATCTTTGGAAGCTGAAATATCCAGTCCAGTGTAAGAACCTCCTCATTCAACAGCAGATTTATCCTGAAGCAGTAAGACAACTTTCTATTCAACAGTTAAATTCCCTGTGCTCAAGCAAAATCAAAATGTCCCCCCTCCTTCAAGCCTATCAGTTTGTCAAAGCACTTCCCTAATCTTTTATCTTCACTGAGAAGATCCATTAATTCTTAACATAGTTAACACGTGGCACTGAACAGAGCTGCTGGCTGAGGCAAACCATTTTGATTGCCACTACTACTCCTCTGAAGATGAAAGCACACACATAAACCACGACCGCTACAGTTCTGTGTCATGTTAACAACCTTGTTTTAGAAAAGAGCAGCACTAAAACACCCCTGTTTTAAGGCTGAGCCATCCTTGGATGGATTAAGCAAGAATCTATTCTTCCTTCTACACGCTTGATTAAGTCTCCAGTGGTGCAAACTGAAGATAGATGGGCATTACTGGGTAATGATACGTGACATGAAAAAAGCCTACCTCAACTTCACTGAGTGGTTGTGACTCCAGGAGTCAGAAAATACCTTTTAAAACTTTCTAACAGTACACAGAGAACTGGGTAACGTGCAATAGGAGATGTGATTATGCCTTGTGATTTTTGCCTATTTTTTCTGAGAGCGAGTGCACATGCAGAAAACCACCCCACACTAAGCACAGTGCGATCACAGCAACAGCAGCTACTGAGGTTATCTGTTGGTTGAATAAAGAAAAATCTCTGTCATGACACTAAGAAGGGTTTCAATACGGGCTCTGATCTTCAGGACCTCATGTAGACACATCCAGGTTAAGAGAGAATATTCAGCAAGTACTTCAGGACTGGACACAGGAATAACAATTGCCACAGATAAGGTATTACTGAAACACTGCTGTACATCAGAAGACTGTCTCCAAATACATAAGATACATCTGGACTGTTTCCAAATACATAACAATGCCAAGATCTTTTTTTTCAGTAACATGTGACCCTGCCCACTGGCTCCGGATGGGGTGTGATATTGAAAGGGGTGAAGAACTTGGTCCACGGTCTCCAAGTCATACTGAAATCTTGGTGGCATCTTTCGCGCACAAGTGAAATTGTAGAGTGTCCCTCAACGCCCCGCATGGCCGCTTACCCACGCCCTGCTCCGGGCTGCAGACTGTGCAAAGCCCCAGTGAGCGCCGTACCAGGGATCTCCCCTGCTTAGCAGCAGCAGCAGTGCTGCTGCACAATTAGGTCAACCACAAGTTACAAAGGCTTTCTCGGGGGGGAGGACTGGGACGTCTGTTTGCAAGAATGGTGCCCGTGATCACCAAGAGGGAAATAGGAGAGTAGCTCATCAGTAAAGAATGCGAGCTTCTTGTTTAACACAAAAGAGATCTTGTCGCTTTAATCTCAATAGGCTGTAAGTAATTAGGAAAACACTGAACTCGGAGTTTAGAGGAGTCATATCTGCACTCGTGCAGTTTGATATCGCATATATGTACACATTACTCATACAGAATGCCAATGATGGGGAGACAGATAAACCTCACCTGGCTTAAATGCTAATCAGCACTTTCAGAAATGAAGATTTAATTCAATAGGTGAAGACTACCACGGGTAAAATACTCACTTTGATTACTACTATGAAAATAACCACCACTGACTTTGAAGGAGATTAGAACCAGACCTAAGTGTTCAAAAGACACATATCCTCCCCAGACTTACAAAATCAGTCACTGAAGCCCAAGCCATCGCTCCCTCTGAGTCCACTGGGCACAGGGCGTGAGTCTTGTCAGCCGGTAACTGTTGGCTACGTGCTGTGACCTTCTGGTTTTACAGCACTGCTGGTGCTTTACTGTCACATTCAATAATGACAGAAACAGTATATCCAGAAGCATTTTTAAAGAGGAAACAGTTGATTTAACCCCTACATGGTGAATAATCCGAACTTCGTAATGGTTTTAGAGATGCAGAGTTCCTGTAATTCCTCTGAGTTCTTGCTAAGAGGTTGGTAATTATTTTCCAATTTCTTTCATCACTTGTTCCACTGCCAAAAAAACTTTCTTTTCATGGACTAAAATTGCTTTGCTGTAGTTCAAATGGTCTATTACAATGAAGTTGTAAAAAATATTACAAACTTCATGATGTTAAAGAATATTAATTCTTATAATGATCCCCAAATTACAACATAATTATTTCACTGACAGTACTTGAAACTTCTAGCAGGAGAAAGAAACACTGCTCTAATTATTTGTACTGGCAGTAAAAAGTTAGAACATCACAAAAGACCAGTATTTAAAAAGCGAACATTTTTTCATACACTTGGAAGAAGGCTGGTGGAAGAAATGGGAAAAGCAAACATTTATTATGGCAGTGGTTAACAGCGATTATGAAAATGGACAACACAGCATTAGCTTAAGAGTTTTCACACAACTACAGTGTGTTCTAGTTACATTTTACTCATTTATCAAAAACTTGTACATCGAGATAGGTGTTAAAAACCATTCAGTGAGCAGTTAAAGCACAAGACAGAATGGGCAGACTTCTCTCTATTTATTGCAATTAACTTTCAATTCAATATGCTTCTCAGCATATTCGAGCCTACACACATACTTTCATTTTTTGTTAAATTAAAAGAAACAAAGAGAAA